TAGCTTGTGCACCAACCAATCAACTCTCTGGAGCGCTCCAAGATGTGAATCATCGAACAATTTCACTTTCATCTTGATGTGATATGCTTCAATGGCACCAGATGCTTCTTGGCTTGCAAGCGGAAGACTCCTCATTGTTGAAAGCCACATTTCTGTTAACAAGAAACATAGTTTCATGCAAAACTTGTAAGACCATTAAACATGATGTGTCCAGGAATGTGCATCAGTGTGTGTCAGAGTGAGTGAGAGAGAGAGAGAGATCTAACCAATCTTCGGTACCCAAGACTGCTTAAAGTATTCCATAAATGCAGTCTGATCAACAAAATCTTGTGTTAGTTCTTCTAAGGCAACCAGGGTATCACTTCCATCCCAAATGCTATACGCAATATTACCCAGACGTTTAAAAATTTCACGCTGAACTTCAATGTTATTGCATTTCTTTACAATATTCCTCAGCCATGATCTACGAACACGCCAAAGGGAAAATAGGACGGGACAACAGAAAATATCTCTGAAAGACCATGAAATGTGTTATTAGAATGCACAATATTCTAAGTCCAGATAAATTTAATGCAGAGAATTACAGAGAGCATCCTGCCTGATGGGATCAATCTCAGCTGCTGCATCATCAATTAAGAAACCATTGATCTTCCATCCGGGCTCAACACTACGAGCTCGATCAAGTAGAGCTTTCATCCATTTAGACACATCTGGCTTTGCAAAGCTACGCGTGATGACCCATGCGACAGGGAGTGCATGTTGTCTTGAGTCAAAGACAAGAAGTGTACACAAAGGATACTGCCATTTCAAACACGTATAAATAAATATCTACTTTCTATGCACATTCCCTAAATCTACAAAAATGTACATTCACGAATCATTTCATGACTCAGTAACTCATATATTCCAAAATGAACCCTGTATTTAATGGATATGTGATGGAAAAGAAAAGTCAACATGATAACAAGATAACTACCCGCAAGAGTTTTTCGTTTATTACGATTCATTCTCTAGGAAACAAGTCCTACTAAACCTAGAAATAAGGAAAGAAATCTTATAGCTCACTAAAGGGTTAGTCAGTTCACAAGCTTGTACAAAAAGCATTAATGATTTGGTTACCTTAAGTCTCTTTATGCCAAATGTTGAATCAGCTGCAATGAGACTGCGGTGGCCAAAACGAATCATTTGTTGCAGCTGCCACTCCGTTTGAATCCCCAGAAGGAAAGGATCTTTCTCTGAAGTATCCTGATAAATGAATATGGATTTTTTGTTGCGTTCAACCCACATTCGGATGCTTGCTTGATCATCAAGATCCAATTCATGGGTAGATCGCTTAATAATCATCCCAAGTTTATGGACATACTGGGAAGCAAGGCTATTTACTTTTGCATTCGAACCACAATACCGCTGAATCCCTTCAATGTGTTTCTCTAGTACATTTTCTTCAGGAATGCCAAGGTAGATCATAGACATTGTTTGCTGTTGAATCTCATTACAGATATATGGAATTTTATTGGCTCCCGGACCAATCGCATCTCTGTCAAGTGGGCCATGGCAAACAAAACCAGATTTGTTCACATGGCGCCTCTCATGATATATAATTAGTGCAAGTGATGGGCGTGCATACAAACGCTTCACTACAAAATTGCATGTACAGCCCCGCATGGATTGAGGTCTAGCTGCACGGTTGCGGGTGTTGAGTCGATATTTTCTGCTAGGCAAAATACCCCCTCCTTCCCCATAATTTTCAGGACCGAAAGAACACCAATACCTTCAACAAGAAAGAATGAACAATTAACAACTGTAGTGCCTAAAATAAGAAAATAGCGGTGAATATGAAATAGAGAGAGATTTTTTTTTTTTTTTGGGGGGGTGGTCCATCCAAAAATTTGCTGCTCATATGACCCACAACATTAAAATTGGTAATCTCAAAGTCACCAGAGCAGAAAACTCTCAACGTTGTCCTCATACACCTGATTTATGTTGGTTAAATCAAGACGGATCAAAATTAAAAGTAAAAGAACATGCACATGCAGATTAGTTCTTTCAGAATGCATTAATAACGAATTAGAACCAGATATTAGATAAGCTGGAAACTCAAAGTGTTGAACTCACTAAAGCAGACTTTACCAGAACAACACTATCTTTTGAATGATTCGTGGAAAAGTAAGCTTTTTGGTCCTCCAGAAGAAGATAATAGAAGAACAATGAGGTGGTATGGTTTAAGAATTTCTTTACTCACAGCTTATATTCCAAATACTCATCATCCTTGTATTCCGTAAAGATGCCCATCTTTCTTCTTCTTCCCCTTTCAATATGAAATCTTGTTGGGCACTCTAAATTTGAGCCTTCTCCAATTATAAAGTCATCCACTCGATCATAAGGAATGAGGGCTGCATCATCATGGTTCTCGGTAGTGCCAAATTTGGTCCAAGTCAAATCAGCAGAGGAGAAATCCTCCTCCGGTGGATCTTGAACTGGAAGATCGTTTATAGATTCAACAATAGCCATAGGGTTGTAGATCCTTAACGCAATATTTAGCACCAAACCAGCTCAACAATTAGCAGCACATCTGCAAATACAGTAAACACAATCCCTTCAATTAGTAACAAAATATCGTAAACACGTCAAATCAAGAAGTTGAATATATAGTTTCATGGTTGTTAAACTTCGAACTCTACTTCGGACATGTAGCTAGTTAAATCAGTGTCACAATAATAATATTCTTATAATCTACATAGAAGAAAGTACAAAATATAAGTATACAATAAATACTCTAAAGTATATGTATGGAGTCTAATGCATAATTTAATAGTCACACAATCCAAATATTTATAAACTAAAATAGAAAAACAGAACAACTAGGCTTTTGGACTAGTGGACCAAGAGAGCAAAAGTATTAGCATATGAAATAGAGAAAAACCCAAAAGAATATTTACAGTTAAAGAAAAGGCCAAAAGATAGAAGTCAGAGAGAGTTATCACATAGAGAGAAAAGGCAGGACATGATTTCAGCATGTGTACAACTTTCTACAACCCTAGAGGTTTCACTTGTTTTGCGAAAACGAAATCAGTGCTCGGAATCCAGAAAAGTAAAATGATATCCATTATTGCTTCACCTACTAAAATTTTTAAAACCTCATTTACTCACTAATACAAAAGATGGTGTTTCTAAAGATGGAACTGCGAAAATCATTAATGCTAATGATCTCAGCTACACTAACTATATTCCTATCAAATAAGCATTTCCTACAAATTACAAATCCAAATTTCAGGCTGGCCTTAGCTGGAACTTCCCACTAAACCCTACTAACAAACCACCAACGAAATTCAATGCTTCTCTCAGTAAGTCAGATTATTACACACCCCAAGCAACCATTTTCTCCCATCTCTATTAGACTACACAGTCAGACCAATAAACCCGTATAACACCATGTTCAAGCAACAAAAATTTACAAAAAACACCATAGTAACCTTAAACCGAAAGAAAAACAAAAAGAAAACCACGATGACCCAAAAAAATGAAAATAAAATAAATAAACTTAAATTGGAAGACAATTCAGTTGCGTTCCTTTGGTGCTTCACATGGAACAACAATGCCTGCTGGCCGAAAAGAGCAGATTTCATACAAAAATACTAATAAATTTGAAGGAACCCAGAAACAAAAAATTGCAGGAAGAACTTAACTATTTAGCTTTACTCCTTAGGTCAGTTCATAAAACCCTAAATGGTCGAAAGCCAATTTCTTTCCACTTGTAATCTTAGCCTAGAACAAAACTTCATTCAGTCAAGAACATTCCTTTACATGTATTCCTGGTGTTCAACTTCAATTTATATTTTGATGAAAACCCAGAAACCCTTTTACGTATATTACTACTGATTACCCTAACTATGTATCACAGCACCCAGAAACCCTGATTACACAGAAACCCATAAACCCTGATTACCCAGAAACCAATAAACCTTGATTACCCTATACTATTTATCACCCCAGCACCAATTCAAAGAAGCCTTTGAAGAATTGGTGCCCCATTTTCGCTAACCAATTAATAAAACTTAAACCCAAAACGCTATTGAGACTACGAAGATCAAAGAAACCCAAATCTTCCAATTATCCAGTTCAATATTTCAATTTCCCAACTAAAAAAATGTTGAAATAAGCAGATAGAGGTTGACAGAGAAGGAAATTTACCTTCTTGTTGGTGAAGAGTGCTCGAACCAGATGAGAGGGAGAGTTCTCGAACGGACTGGACTGGAGAGGAGCGGCGACAGAGATATGGAGAGGGCGCTTTGGAAATGAACGGCTAAACAGACGGGGCAGGATTGTCAAGTTCCATTAATTGTTATTTTTCATCTTTTATTTATGAAATTAAAAAAAAACTGTTTTTGGAGAAACATTTGCTTTCCGTTGCTTTTGACTTATAATTTAAAAAAATTAAATTGTTAAATAATTTTCGTAATCACGAACCGCACTTAGTGGTTCGAGTTGCAACGGTTAAGAATAAAATATTTAAAGTTTGTTAAAAGCGAGAGTTGTTAGAGATAAAAAGTAAAACTGAATAGCTTGCTAATTTAACAAAAGATTTAACGTTAGTCTTGGAAATGTTCTAATTGCGTTATTGGCTTATGAAATCGCAAATATCATACCCGGCATAAGCACTTCATCGGCTTTATACACCCATATGGCAACATTTCTCCTCACAAAGAAAAAATACACGTTACACAAATATTTTTACAACTCCTAATGTTACAAAAAGGAAGAGTTTACAGAGATTACCAATGAAAAATAAATAATTTCCGCCCGCTATCTTTTTCTTTCTGCACATCTGTGTTTTTTCTCGTCTTTTGATTCTCTTTTGATGGCCAGGACAATTATCGTGCAGAAGAGAAAATGAGCAGAATGCACAATTCACGGTGCTCGTCCATCGCTTAATATCTCGTTCGGGAAATCTCAAGTACATAATCGAAACATCAAGAGACGAATTGTTTATACTCAAAAAATGAACAATCATTCATGTATATTAATTTCTGAATACACCCCTAAAAATTAACTGCTCTTATTATTCAGAGAGCAAAAAACAATTTGATATCATCTTTGTAAATCTCCTAACCCTTTCATAATTCCTACTGTGCTAACACAAAAACAAAAATGAAAATACAAGAGATACATCGCGATCGTATAATAATTTACGGGCCAAAGATACAAAACACAGTACACTCGTCGTTATGGAGGACGTAGAAATGAAAGGAAATAATTAATCCGACTGGAGTACAGTAAGGTAATACGGATATCCCTGGCACGTCCCAGAAGACGACCTATCCCGATTTTCTTGATCATTAGAAAGTAAAAGATTCCAATGCAAAACATAGCTCGACAGATCATATGTCCCGGGAGAGAATACACAAACTTGAAGAGGAATTTCAGTTCTTGACATGGGATCAAGATGGACTCTAGTACAGCTTGACCCGGACCAAATAAATGGGGAGACGCTCTCCATGGGAATTGACTTACTGGCCCGGGATCCAAGGACATCGGAAGTCACTTTGATGTCAGTCACTGGTGAGAGGTCATGCCATCCATCTTGGTCGCCAGAAGACGTGGCAGGTTGAACTGGAGTTGCATCACTTAAATGATCACTAGTACTGGAGTCCGAGGTGTTTATGCGTACAGATGCAACTACATCCCATGTGTTGCATATAGTCATGCTAAGATTTATTTCACAAAAAGAAGCAGAGAAGTTATGGTATAAGGTTCGAGGTCCGTCCACTAGCCATGATATAGGACTTGTGGTCGCAGTACTGTAAATTAAACGCCAAAATAGATGTCAGCGTAACATAATATTAAAACAAGAAACTACAAAGTTAAAGTAAAGAAAGCGAGAAAAGATTCATCTTGAAACAAAACGTACCTGCAGTGACATGCATGATGAGAAAAAAGACGCGGTGGCTCAGAAACCTCAGGATTAATGTCATTCTTCAGAGGCCGGGAAATCAATATGAAGTCAACCGGATTCGTGTCTCCCTAATCCATACAAAAAGAAACGGGTCAATATGAAAATAATGCTGAGAAGCATCAACAGTGCACAAAAGCATAAGCTACTGGGTCATGACTTGTATATGTTCCGATGCATAAAATTTAGTTTCCCCTTCAAGACATGGTGATTTACAAGTCAAAACAACCAAATGAAAGCAAAGCGATGAGTAATAGTGAACCAAAAAAGATGGTTATATAGAGCAAGAATATATCAACCTTATTTAAAACTTCCTGGTACAGTCTTTCAGAGAGGTGGAAATCTGCCAGAGTAGAGCTAGCTATATCAAAACGTGGTCCATTATTGCCCTGAGTACCCAATCTCAAATGAGTTCCCTGAAGTCGGGGATGGGAAGATTTCTCGTCTTCAGAAGTTGATGACTTGCCACGACTCTGAATCCAAAATTTCATTCATTAGAAGGAGAGAGGGGTGGGGTAGGGTAGGGGTGGAGAAATTCTGTAAAAAGATAGGACCACAGTTTCAGCTTCTTCACAAACCTTGAGCCTGAAGAAGCATGACAATGCTTGATGAGGTGTTAAAGATTGTGAAGGAAAGATGGCATCAACTGGTTGAAGTAGTGAGATTTCCCATTGGTTCCCAACAGATGACAACTGATGAATTTGGAAACTTTCAGAGCTTGTCTTGTTGACAACATCCATGCGCACAAGAAACTCTTGCAATCTTGATGGACAAGGACTGATAAGGAATGACACGTCCAATGACGGCAATACCTGTGAAAATGAATGTTAATATTGATCATTGATATATTCAAATCAATATATTTGAAGGTACTTCTTAGAAAAGTGAGTCAAATCAAGAAACTTTCACAATTGACAATGATCCACACACCTGCAAATTGTAATGCATGCGTAAAGTGCGAAATCTCATGGTGCTTGAAATATCACTCATCTCATAATATATTGTTATGTACAAGGAAATGTTCCCAGGAACAGCTGCCCGAAACCAAAGAGGCCACAATAATGGTGTTTCCCCATGAATAATAGTGTCCTGAAGTACAGAAAAACATAAACATTAAACACTATAAGACCAGAAACTGGAAAATTACAGCTTCATAACAAACCATATAAAGATACAAATCGGGAGAATTTGGATGCTGACCTCAGGAAATAGAAACAGGGCATGAGAAACATCATTAAGGTTAGCATGTTCAGCAGACTGATCAGAACTTTTCTTTTCTAAGCAAGCAGGAAACTCCAAGTTCAAACTGTCTCGCTTTCCAAGATTCAAGAATCTAGGATGACTAATCTTCATTTTCAAATTCTGCAAGAATATCAGGCCATAACATATAAGCACATTAAACATATTGTATGCATCAATTTACATGGTTAGTCCCTGCCTGACATAAAGGAAAGCTTGGGCTATATCTACTATTCAAGACCAGGAATTAACAGTGCATAAGCATTAGCTCATGCAATGGCATTGAGTACATGACAATCCTGTATGGCAAAGTGATCAGGCAAAGTTCAAGCCGACTACCTATACTACATCCTTAACAATGAATAGCAAATAAACATTTCACAAAAGTTAATACAATGCAAGATACATTCACAAAAACGTACACGAGTAAACCAACTACCTGATTATACAGTGAGACCATAAGTAAGTGCAAAAGACCATACCTTCACAGCAAATTCAGATTTGTTCTTCAACTCCAACACAAGATGCCGTAAATCTCCTGTATATGCCCTTTTAGGTAGTGGATGAATGACACCCTCAAGCTTTGGTACACTCTGACACAGGAAAGAAGATAGTTAGAAGAAATGGATGCCCAAACATAGTCATTGCAGAATTCTGAAAGTGGAAAGAATAGGAGATGGGAGCAAGCACCTTAACAACTACAAACTTTAAATTATCACAATGAGGATGCTTCGCCTTCTGTATTCGGTTTCTGCTTATCTTCTTCATGGGGTTAGTGTCAAATTTATGGAAGCCAACAACAGAGCCTGACAATTTCCACTTTACACCAACAATCTGTAAAATGCCTTCTACTCTAGGAGTAACCGTTAGTTGCACCTGAAAGGAACAGAAACTGACAATAAGCAGAATTCAAGAAGTATAATAATGAATTTGTGAACAAGATATGTTTATAAAATGTGGCATGGGAAATAAGTTTGACTATACTTTTCAAACAGAAAGGATAACCACAGACATGTAAAATAGATCTCAAATAAGAAATAATGTCTTCGAAAAAATAAACAACTGAAGTTGGCACAATGCACACAGGAAGTACACAGGAAAAAGAAAAAAAAAAGAAAAGGAAGAAAAGACATTTAACGACATATATTAACAATTCAGCTCTATTTTTCTATCAGTGCAAAGTTTCATATCAAGTTAGGAATGAGAAGTATAAAAACATTTATTAAATTTTAGTAGCATAACCACCTAGCTTTGTCAGTTTCAATCACAAGCGACTTTCTATCATAAGCATGGATCAAGCAGATGCAAATTAATTCATACTCCAATGACTCCATAGACTAAGAAACATCAAAACATTTCTAGTACTCTGTGATTCTAAAATTTTGCAAAAGGAAAGTCATAATTACTTTAAATTTATGGATGATCTTATTACACTTCATTCTGCAATACTTTAACAACTCAAATGAAGTACTCACCACAATTGTTTCACCTCCTGCTAATGAAAAGTCCACATCAGACAAAGAAAATAAAGAACTCTCAAAGTTCACATCCCTGCAAAAATTAAGTAAACAAATCCACCTTAGCAGGTGCAAACATGATAAGAACCGAGATAGGGATATTGATATAGACAAGTACAGAATATTTTCAAGGCCAAAGCGTAATTATCAAAGCATTTAAGAGTAAGCATTAAGGACACAAAGTTCTACAACAAGAAATATACACTGGTTATGGTTAAGCCCCAAATAGGCTAGCTTATTAAGAAGTCCAAGGGGAAGCCTAAAATCCAGTAAAATCATGCAATAGTGAAGCCCACAAGGACCACTATAAGGCCCAAACTTAGCAAAGCAAAAACTCATTTTACAAACACAACAAACTGGTCCATATTAAAAACTAATAAAAAATAAAAATCAACTAGTTGTGTAGTATAAAGGCATGCAGGCAGCCATATGAATGATAATATTACTACAGGTTGATACAAGTCTTGCCAAAAGGAGAAGAGGAATGGAAACATGAGATTTCTCTCCAAAGGAACTGCTCAAACTTTCAGTGATTGTCTTGATTGAGACCTTACAGAGTCATTAAAAGATAACTTTGGCTAGTAAGTATTCCAAGAAAAAGAGAAAAACTATCAATCCATCAGCCCAGTAATGCAAGAGAAGTCATTGATAAGATGCTAGTAGTGGCCCAAAGGCATTTTAGAGTCACATTGCACTGAGTGCCTCACCAATGCCTTTGACAATACTCAAAGCAATTATAAACAGCCATGTACACACCTATGAATTAAACTAGTAGATTCTCCATCCTGAATCTCCACTAACGAGCTACTTGCATCTGCATCATCACAAACTGATCAGCCAATGATTGTGACATGTTCTTGCCAATAATCAACTTGAAGAGTTAAATTGTGTTTCTGTGGGGTAGTTACCGGATTTCATTTCATCAGAGACAGCAGAAAGCTCGCATAATAGGGAAACACTAGACAAAGGGAGGGGGATTTGCAACGGATTTTTTAATTCAATATCAACCCTGACAGCTTCTGCATATGGTAATGAAGAACAAAATACCAAGAAATGTATATCAAGTTATCAACTGAGCGTATAATAACCCTACAACATACTCTGTCTTCAATATCAATGAAAAGAAGGAGTGCATTAATCCTTAGAAGGATGCAATTTAATATATAAAGTACTAATCATGCAACTTCATATATTGTTCGTGTTCATACCTCCTGCAACACAAACATTTGACTCTTTGTACATCTTTGGGATAAGCTTTGATTGTAACTCCAACCAATTAGTTCTGGCGGTGGACAAATTTGGAATCATTTCCTCCTCTAAGGAGACCCATATTCTTTCTTTGACACTTGCCTGGAATGTTTAGAAACACAACAATGCCAATTACAAGCCAGTCTAAACCACCTTAAAGAAACATTCAAGAAAGTCCATGAGAAAGAAAAGCTTCTCATCAGCATCACAGATAAGTTAAAAGGAATACAATAGGTATGATCGCATTATCGGCGGCTGTGATCAAAACACAAATTACGTGAGTTTTCATGAGTAATTCATGCTCATTAGTACATCATACCATGTTTACCACATTGAATTTTGTACACAGCACTCAAAATTCTTTTCTTGAAGTTCCCAAAATATCAGTACACAATTTGGTAAGGCTACAAAACAGAACATGTCCATAAAGAATAAACAGTTAATTTGTAAATCATTAATTTACCCAATCATGTTGTGCTGTACATAGTGGCAATCTCTACACTTAACAATTTGTAACCTCATTCAAAAACTTTATGCACCCTGGGAATATATGCATTAACATGGAAAGCCCCTCGAGGTTTACAAGAGCAGGCATATTTCCAACTACTTCTGTTCCACTGAAATGTTGTAACAAAATTACTGAAACAGCAACATCCATATATTTTTTTCATAAGGGAGTGCAACCCTTATTTCCAATAAGAACATCATCCTCATATTCTACAACTAAACTTACCAGCCTACTAATAGCTCCATCAAATGAGAGAAAGAAATAATAAAATTAGGAGGAAGTCGTCATTGAAAAAACAAGGAAACAGAGAGAAAAGGAGGAGGATTGAATAGAACATTTATAACATAGAAAGGAAATACAACTTACAGCTGCAGATGATGCATAGGTCCGATGATCCTCAAAAATTACCCTAAGAGATGAAATATTGATCTCCGGCAATTGAAGCTTTGATACTTCAAATGTTTTCCCTGTTTTCTATATAATCCAAGAGAAACCTCAGTTAGTTTGCAGCAAAACCTAGCTGAAGTCATGTAGATTGCTTAAAAGTTTTTTAAGAAATTTTAATTGTTTAATCTAAAAAATATAACGTAAGCAAAAAGTGCAAAAAATAAAAGGGTGCCTTAACAGTCTACTAATTTTTGCTCCAGAAGTTGCTAAAACTTCCATACCAATTTGAATATGTCAGTGGATGCCTAGAGGGCCTGAGAAGTTATTATGTTTCCTGTCAGGATCATATTTAAGTTTACAGACTCTGTGGGTGGAGAGAATCACCTAACATTGTAGCCCACCCTAGGTGGGGATAAGAAAAAAAGTCGTACACATGTTTTCAAAGAACTAAAACTATGACATTAAAGTTAAACTCATTTTGAATGCAGGGTGATGAAAGTAAAATGTCAAAGCCAAACCAGATTATACCTTGAGATCTGAAATGAAAGTTAACTTTTCCTTTTTTTTTTTTTCGAGCAAATGCAAATTACTTTTAAGGACCTTGCACTTTTTCCTTCTCCTCAATCAAGCATAGAATACAAAGGGTACTAGTGCTGACCTGAACAATTTGAAGGAAGTCTCTCAGGAATAACTCCTGTGTTTTCTTGGACTGATGACCACAAGCCAGGACCTCCATCACATGATTTGCAGCCAAATCATATAGCCCAAGAAGAGCATACCACCTAAATCACAGAAATTGTATGAAAAAACGCTACAGATTGTAAGAAAAGAAGCTGGCATACAAAACTACATACAAATTAAAACCGCATCTAAGTCCATATAACTTACTGTCCAATATGGAAATGAACATGGTCTTTGATATGGCTCCACGTAGTTCCTGTATACACAGACATGGCACCTCTATATGTGCGAATTGCATGTTTGACCTGGATGGCTCAAGGCAAGAAATCTTTTTCAAAAGATGCAGCATTTATTAAGTTAAGTTGAACAACCTAAAGAATAGCTACCTGATCAGATTTCTTGTAACGGTCACCAGAAAGAACAAGATGAAATCCATATTTGTGCAACATAGGTGGTCTAGACAGCAAGTAACAATAAGACGCTTGCTCAAGCATTACAGCGGAATACAGTGGCTCCTAACAAAGAATTAGTCAGGAATAAGAAAAAAAGACCTCCGAACTGATTATATTGAAAAGGTAGCAGTAAGACCCTTGCTCAACCATTATAGCTCAATGTAGCAGCTCCAAAAAAAGAATTGGTCAGGACTCAGGAGTAAGAAAAATGTTCTTGTGGCTTATTAAATTGAAAAATAGGCAGTACCTCCGTACAAACACGGAAGTAAACAGTTGCAGCCTCTTTATACTGATGTCGTGCCTTCAACATCTCCACCCACCAAAGACCACACCTAGTTGCGTTTTGCTGGCTAGATGGTGCAACTTTCTGCTTGGATACCAAAAAAATGTGTAAGAAATTTGGAAGAGATAAACCAGAGGGAAAGATATGGGGGAGCTGCAAGTGGATATTATAATACAAGTCAACAGCCTCAAACATTTGCCAATTTAGCCAGTTGCTTTCCAGAAAAAACTACAAAACAATCATGCAAATGCAAACCTGAGAATCTATTGAGATAAAAAATGGAATTGTAATTGAAGTATGCAGCTTCTTTGTTGAGAATCTATTGGTTGCAAGGCCTTTTAAGAAAAATGAAACTTGTAAAGTTCTGTTTGACTATGGAAGGATAAGTCCCTTTGGTTGGGTGGGTTTTCCATGACAGCTTCTCAAGATTGTTGGCCTGTGACTAGAGACTAATCATCTAACAAAATATTTTAAGTATTTTAAGAGAGGGGTTGTGATATGAACGCTAATGCCATTAAAATATGCTTGATTCCTAAAACTCCATTTGTTCAAGTCATGGACTACAGACCTACAATTTGGTTCACTAGTATCTACATGACCTTAGCTAAAGCTTTTATCCCTGAGATTGAGAGAGGCATTGGGTAATGTCATGTTATACCTATTCCTCAAGGGCTTTCGGCGTCGCAAACATGTTTCAGGGCTCGTTTGGTTTAAGGATTGGATTGGAAGGGCTAACTGTCTAAATTCAAGGCATATTGAAGGTAGATGAGAATGATTTTTCATTGTGAGGAGATTAGAAGAGGATTGGACGCGACGAAAACTTCTCCCATCTAATCCTGGGAGGATTAGAATGGATAACTTTTCTTCTTGGGTAATCCTTATCCTACCTCTATGTTGGTCACAATTTTTTTAATTTCTTCTTTCAACATACCTTTAAAATGGCGTCTTATCTATTCCAATCCAATCATGTGTACCAAACAAGGCCTTAATCTCAAACCAAACAGGAAAATAAAAAATATACATACTAAATAGGTAGTAAATGCGTTTTCCATGCAATACTCTGCATCCTTTCTTGACTGGTCTGACATGAAATATGCAAGCCCCATCATTTCCTGCAAGAACAAATGAAATAAGTGAGCTTTGTTACACCATGGGAACATTCACACAACAAAATAAAGACCTTTTAGCCAAGAGAGAGAATCAAATGTAGGAATACATAAGCAGAGGGGTAAAATGAAAATCCAAAAAAGAATCCAGAAGCCATTAAACCCACCTGTACGCCAGCATAGCGTTTCCAGGCTTTGTCAAGCTTGTAATCTGTGGATATTAGGCGATAATTCGACAATGCAAGTTCATAATCACGTAGCATGAAGGCATAATCACCCAAAACTCTAATTTGGGATTCAATGGAGTTAAAGGTGTACCTAAAACATGGAATGTAAACTGCCTATTAGTAAAATAAAAGGATATAACAAAGAACACTAAGTAACAAAATAATAATGAAATAAAATTAATTGTACAGCATACGTAGGGCCACTGGGAGAATCCACCACATCATCTTTTCCTTTTCTCCACCATAGATTTTTTATTTGGTTCCTAAAACCTTTCCTTGTTGCAGCAACCTGAAAGCCACAGAATCAGACATAATATAGTTTTACACATATAAGTGTGCAAATACAGAAAGTAAAAATAAAGAAAGCATTGGACCAATCGTACACTAGAAAGTAAGTACTCAGAAACTGAAGGAAATATTGTCGAGATACATGCCTGCTGATTGAGCAAACGTATTTTTTGCTCCATGTAGGGAATAATGTGTTTAGTTGATAAATCTTGCATCAGGTCTTTTATCTGTCCCAGTTTGTACAAATTGGATATCATGGTAAAAATTCTGACGTCAGCAGAAAATTTTAATTATCAACCTAACATAGGATTATAAGAACATTTGATAATGAGCAACAAAAAGTACTTTACCTCATTAAAATCCTCAACATTAAGGAAGCAACGAAGCGGTTGACTAGGTAAATCTTCAAATTTCTGTCCATAAAATACACAAGCATAGAGCCTCAGCTATACCTCATCTAACAATTTTATATAACAATACCATCAGATAAACCTACAGAACAAGGTAAAAACAGAGGACTTCAGAATAGCTTACATAAAGCACCCAGGGATAATCTTGATGTTCAACCACACCATCTTGAGAAGAATTAATGCACAGTAACTGACAGTCAGAGCCAAAAGTGCTCCTCATTTCAGTTAAAATTTTAGTTGCCCTGCAAAAAGAATAAGACTCCAACAATATCAATTTTCTATTGTTGTCAACTTTGATTATCTAAAGTTACTATTTCTATTAGACTTCATCCAAATACAAGATTTTTTGAAAAAATAAGAGAAGAAATAAGTACAAGGAAATAGAAACAAAATGTCCAAAAACAAAAAGGCCACAATAAAAGATCCTATTGTTTCTTTCCATCCAAAGAGTTCACAAAATTGCCAAACATGACATCACCACAAAATTCAAACTTTCATTTGAAATAACTCCAATATGAGACTCCCCAAATAAGGAGTAGCAATCTCTAGGCAGCACACCCACAATCCCAAACACCTAAAGCAACCTCCCCTCCAATATGAGTGATAAAAGGACAATGCAGGAAGATATGACCAATACACTCGGCATCTCTAAAGCAAAAAGGCACCAATGAGACAGTTTTTTTGGACTATGATGTACACCTCCAAGACAAACTTCTACCAAGATCTACTCATATTCCATTCCCCACCACCAACTTGAACCCCAACTATAAATAAGGAACTGAACAATCCTTTTTTTACTATAAAGAAACAAGTGTATTAATATCACAGGAAGGAAACAAACAAAGAGGTTAGTCAATAAGGTCAAACCAGATCACAGAAAACAATCAGGACTTAAAAAGCTAAAACATAGAAACACCAGCACAAACAGCTGAAAAACACCTAAGACTTTCAACAATCCTTCACCAATTATATTGCAGAAAACACTTATAAATGACAGAACAAAACCATGAATCCTACTTATGAGAAGATCATCCATTTCCCTAAGAGAGGACCGCCTAAGCTGAAGGTTTCAAATCTCTATCCTTTAGAAAATCTCTCTAGGATTTTGTTAGCTTTTTGGGAGTCTGAACATAGACATGAAATTGGTAGGAATAGTATATAAGACTGACTGCATGAGCATGAGGCTACAACCTCTAGGCAAACACTGACATTCCCAGAATTTTTACAATTGATAATCCCAGAATTTCAGAAAGCATGGATTACACTCCAAAGGGAGCCCAAGATAAATCAAAACAACCCACTAGCTTCGCACCTCAGACCCAAACCAGGGACACCCTTATCCTGAATATTGATATCCACCATAACACTCTTGAACATCTTGATTATGAGGATCAATAATTCTAATAAAGTTAATAAGAACTAAGAGGACTACTTGGATTATCAACGTTGTCTTACCTTGTTTCAACTCCATGTACCTTGACGGTATGAAAATACCCGTTAGTACCTTACCTCCTTATATTTACTAAATTCAGTCAAATATGTACACGAATTAATTTGCTAAGTTCTGACCAAAAGGTATAAAAAATTTATGGCCATGCAGATTCTTTATTTGCTTTCTAACATGATTAGAGGGCCAGAAAGGTAAATACTTCTCTAAAGGGCCATCTTGTTTATCATGCACTAGCAAATAATGCTTCAAAATCTTTGGGTCCATTGCCCCATTAGTAAGAAGGGAGGGCAACTTCTTGGTGTTAAAGAGGTCAACAAATCTGTTGATAGGCTGATCATCCTTTGAAGAAACTACAACGAGACCTGCAAGTAAAACCAAACAATATAGTTACAACTGAACCCAACCAATACCCCAAAAAGAAAACAGCATTTTGAGAACTATGATTCTATGACTACGGCATGGACCAGACTTTTTGAGCTTTGTCATTAAAATTGTAACTAGATAGGCAAAAGAATAGTTACTTTATAAGTTTCAACACCTTACATGCCACAGGATGATCAAAAGCTTCATGGTCTGAAAAAGAGACGCTATGTACAAGCTCTTTGTTGAAAAACTGAAACCATGATGGTAGAACTTCAGATTCCGATACTGCAAAGGAAAGCCATAATCATAGTTAAAGCTGTAGATCTGGGTAAAAAAGAATTCATTTAAATTTCAATTATACAAGTAACACAGGTGCATAGAATAGCCTAAGAAAGATAATTGCTCAATCCATTTCATAAATTTTAAAAATAAGAATAAAAGAAATTAGTTAGGTACAACACAACTCCCTTGAGAGCTGAATGTCAACCACGGATCTATATAAGGAATATTACTTACTGGATAATGCATTATCAATCTGAGGCAGGTCTGAGCACAATTCAGAAAGATCTTTATCCGCCGCCTGGTTTATGACTTGTTTCAACCTCTCTTTTGCTACCTAGGTGAAGTTAAACAATATATCTCAGGCTCTAACAGTTGGGCATCCAATAGGAAATTAACCTTTAACTATAAAACTGCATGTGCAAAACAGATCTAATATTCAAATACCAAAACCCACCTAAACTCCAACAGGATACTTTTTTTTTCTCCTTTTGTTTCACTGAGAAACATGTCATTATGGACAGAGCAACACGGAGTACATAATAGATTGAACTGACCAACGAGGAACATTTGAACATTTAACAAGTCAAACTTGTAATTGTTTCAACTCGAGCTTATGTATCTTCCTAATGCTTACTCTGTATACTAAATATCTAACAATTATAGTCCTTTTTCCCTTTTCCCTTTCCCATCTCTCGGTAAATGTCCGTCATTTCAAAATCAAGTCAGATGTTTATATGGGCCAGCCTAGTAGGCTACTAATATCCACTAGTCAAATTAGTAGCCCAGAAAAATTGAGCGAAACTAGCTCAAATTTTGAATCTTTCGCATATCTATTATCCGGGATTTCAACTAATTCACACAATCCTACTCCAACTGAAGTGAAGGTCCGTACTTTCCCAAGTTTTAATGAAAATCTTAAACTCCAATTTTTATCAGTTCCCACATTTTCACAGCAACCAAACAGCACAATCGAAAAATTACCTCCAAATTCGGTTGCCGAATATCCAACTCATAAAACAACCGCAATCCGAACTTCTGAAGCCTGTAGGGTTGATCACTCGCAGTCCGCACAGGCACTGCACCGAAACACAAAAATCTTAATTTCCACTCAAATTCCACCCTCAGTAACCCTAACACACACACACACACACATATATAAATGCACAAATTAGTAGGGAAGTGAGAAATAAGCGGGTGGGGTTCACCGTCGATGTTGTTGAAGACGCAGAAGGGCTTGAGCATTTGGACTAAGGTGAGGCCGTTCTTGAGGCAGGCTTCTTCGACGAGGGGCGTACGGAGCACCATGACAACGGGAGTGATCTCTTCCAAAAGCATTCTGCCAAGTGGCGTATTCGCCGGATCCACCATTTCTCTGGAAATGCGCGGTGGAATTGGCGACGGCGACTCGGGGTGAATGACGGGACTGAGTCACTCACCGGGTCGACGCGGGTCGGGGTGAGTCAGGCGTGGGTTTGGCTTGCTAAGATCCCGAGCGTCAATGGAAGATCGCAGAAGAGTGCTTCTGGCAAATGAAATCTGCATACAGAACTCAGAAGAGCTAGTACGACTTCGTTTTGTTGTATGTACTGTTCTAATGAGCTTTTGCTCTCCTTTTTTTTGTTTTGAGGAAAACTAGGTTGAAAATTTTGAATTTTAACAGGAATAAAATAAATGATAAAATAAATAGTATTTGGATTAATTTTTTAATATAAAAATGTGTTTTTTTATTAAAATAAATAGTACGTTAAACTTCTCTTGTTTTTAGTATTTGGGTTGTGCAATTCTAGAGCTTATTGGGTTTGTCGGTGGGAAAGCTGTGAACACGAAAGTTCCTTGAAACAATAAACAAGAATAACGTGTACAAAATAATACTTTGTGTTTAATGATTTTGGGGTTACGATCTCTCTCAAATTGGATCCTCTGATTCTATCTTCGTAGGGTGTAGGTTTGTGGATGAGTTGTTGATCCAAAGGGCCGTCGGGGCTTGATCTAAGGATGAACAGTTGATGAACGGATGAACACTTTCTTCAAGGGCCGTCGGGGCTTGATCTTGAATAATGGTTGTGTGGATTTCTTCAAGGGCTTTTGGGCTTGATCTTGAAGGTTGATGGATGAGCGGATCTTCAAGGGCCGTTGGGGCTTAATCTTGAAGAACGATTGGATGTGTGGATTTGTTGAGGTTGTTGATCCAAAGGGTCGTTGGGGCTTGAGCTTAGGATGAACGGATGATGAATGATGAACCCTTTCTTCAAGGGTCGTTGGGGCTTGATCTTGAATAATGGTGGGAGTTCTTCAAGGGCCGTTGGGGCTTGATCTTGAAGGAGGATTTGACGAAGAACGAAGAGTGCTTTCTTGATCCTTCGGGATTTTCTTGAGAACTTTAGAACTTTAAGGCTTCAAGGTTTTGGTGTCTGTATTTGTTGATGTTGTTGATCCAAATGGCCGTTGGGGCTTGATCTTAGGATGAACGGATGATGAATGATGGACACTTTCTTCAAGGGCCGTCGGGGCTTGATCTTGAATAATGGTTGTGTGGATTTCTTCAAGGGCTTTTGGGCTTGATCTTGAAGGTTGATGGATGAGCGGATCTTCAAGGGCTTTTGGGCTTAATCTTGAAGAATGATTGGATGTGTGGATTTGTTTGTGTTGTTGATCCAAAGGGCCGTTGGGGCTTGATCTTAGGATGAACGATGAACACTTTCTTCAAGGGCCGTCGGGGCTTGATCTTGAAAGAGGATTTAACGAAGAACGAAGAGAGCTTTCTTGATCCTTCGGAATTCTTGGGAATTTGGATGGTTGGAAGCTTTGGAGTTTCAAAGCTTCAAGGATTTGGGGAATTCCTCTTCTAATTTTGGAGTAGAGAAATGTATTTGTAAATTCCTTGATGCTTGATACCTTGATGGAGAAGCCTATTTATAGGCTTTGAGAATGAATCACCACCACAAAAATATTTTTTTCCTTTCCAAGAGCCATTGCCTAATTTTCCCACTTAATGCAATATTGAAATTGAAGTGGTGTAACTTATGGCCTAATTTCCCACTTAATACCATTTTAAACTTGAAGTGGTGTAATTTATGGCCTAATTTCCCTACATTAACTATGCCTATTCCTTACATTAACTTGAAGTGGTGAAACTTATGGCCTAATTTCCCACTTAACACCATTTTAAACTTGAAATGTGTATGCTTTGTCATTGCCCAAATGAGAAAAACTTGCTTTGATCCGTAATGGATTGAAGTGTGCTTGCCTTGTCATTGCCCAACATGAGAAGAAAAACTTGTTTTGATCCTCAATGGATTGAAATGTACTTGCCTTGTCATTGCCCAAAATGAGAAGAAAAACTTGTTTAATCCTTCAAGGGTATTTCTTCCTATTTTGTTGAGTCACACGCCATGTGTACAATTTGTACAACACGTGGCGTATGCCATGTATGCCTTGACACGTCAAAACTTTAATGCATTGGTGAACATTTGTTTTACTGAAATTTCGATGTCTACAAAAGCCCATATGTTTATTTTAATTTACTTGTTTTAGACCTTTCGAACTCTTTGAATAAAACTCAAAGTTTAGATTCTAAATCTCCCATAATTGCTCTAACATGTGTGTCAAATATGAGTTTTAACTTAAAACTCATTTTTAGGGCAAATTTAGTCTAGTATGCCTGCCTACCATATATGTGTATTTTTTTAATTTTATATTATAAATTTATTGAATCCAACTGTTATGATCTAATAAGATCAAATCTAATGGTATAAAAAAAGATCTAACAGTTCAAATTTAAATTTAATGTCTAAAATAATTAAAAAAAGATTATTTCATATGTTTCATATTCTTTCATAGTGTTCCACAAGTTTCAAGGTATCGGTTTAGTGATTTTTCAATCAGAATCTAAATATTTTTTGTTTAAAATATTCATAAAATTAAATTATGTGGTCTACATAATATTTTTTATTAAAAAGTTACTTTAAGAAAAATAATATCCTAAATTCATTTTTTTTATAACCTCGGACTAAAAGTTTAACCCATAAAGGTTGGAGCAGAAAAAAACTGTTTCTAGGTTAAAACTTCAAACCTAAATCATTTTGGTTAAAAATTTTAGGTTTTAACCCAAGATTGGAGATGGTCTTAGAATAAATTTTTTTTATTTAAACATCAGTGTATCGAGAAATTGTCTTGTAACAAAAGTGTATCGAAGATTGGAGATGGTCTTGGAATTAATTATCACGAATAGCCGGAATAGATACCATGTTCTAGGATTCATGTGTTTGTTGATTTCCATTGTATTATGCTTTCTCATAGTGCAACTTAGTAGATACCATGCTAAATACTTCGAAAATGAAAAGAGTTAGTGTAGACGTCCATGCCTAATTCGTTGTTTAGGGAAATCAATAGCTTAAAGAGTAGATACCATGCCTTTAGGTTGACAAACGTAAAGCATCAATAATCTGTTTTGTATCATAGTGTGTATCGGTTGCTTAGGCGAAAAAGGTTAGAGATGGAAGTCAAAGTCCTAATCGTTCAAACATCGTTTTCAAAATCCTTATTGCCAATTACTTTTATTTGCCTAAGTTCTTTATATTGTGCTTTTATGCTTAAACTTAAGACATCTCAAACTATTTTGTTAAACCTTTACTTGCATATTTGCTAGTTTTGTGAATTAATTAATTTAAATTGTTAGGAATCATACTCTAGTTACATATTACTGCAATACTCGTGGGAATGATCTCGTACTTGCTTTCTATACTATGTGTTTGATCTTATGCACTTGCGAGTTTAAAATGTGCAATTAGTAGCTTTAATATTTAGGTTGCTAAACGCATAACAATTTGGTTGGTTGAAACCAAAAAGTGCATTGGCCTAATTCAGGACAATCATCGACATCATGCAATATAATAAAATTATATGTCGTGATACATAAACTAAATGGAACCATCGAAAGAGGGTACATTTCAAGTACAACCTTATTATCTATTCTAAAATTGAGGAGGGATTTGACTATAATAAAATTATATGTCGTGATACATAAACTAAATGGAACCATCGAAAGAGGGTACATTTCAAGTACAACCTTATTATCTATTCTAAAATTGAGGAGGGATTTGACTGTAACTTAGCTACAATCAAATCTTTGCCACTCGATTTCATCTTATTTGCAAGAAAGCCATCTGATATAGGTTGGGTTGGACGATTATTAATAAAGGTTAGCAGGGTAATTTTGTCTCTTAATAAATTTCAAAATATTTACGATTTTACCAGGCTGCTACTTTTAATCTGGAGTGGATTTCTTCCTCTCTCGTCAGCTTTCTCTTTCTTTTCATTTCATCTTCTCTTCCAAAAACAAAACAAAAAAAAAAAAAAAAAAAAAAAAAAAAAAAAAAACCCTAGCCATTCAAATTTCTCTCAACCCTAACCGTCCCTCATCTTTCTCTCTTCACTCACCATTTCGATGAACTCTACTTGTAGCACGCTCTTCCATTTGCTACACAAACCCAGCTCCAGTTCTCTTTCGCCAGTTTTCCAGGAAGCACAAATCGAGTTCCCTCTTCTTTTTCTTTAAGAAATAAAACACGCAAATATTGTCCCGATTCGAAGAAAAATTCTCATGTGGATTTGATTTCAGGGTAAGTCCTCTTTCTCTTTATAATTTTGTTTGGGATTCTCTCTTCCTCTCTCTCTCTCCTGCTCAATCTCAAAAATAAAAAAAAATAAAAGAATTTTGTTTGGTACTCTCTCCCCCTCTAAAATCTCTGTTGGATTTCTTCCAATATGTCAATTTGTATAATTTATTTTTTGATGTGACATTTGATGGGTTTGATTTGGGTTATAGTTTGAGATTTTATTTGGAATATTTCATTTTTTGAGTTGGATTCATGTTTTTTGCTTAAGATATCTTTTTTTTTATTAGGGAAATTTTATTTGAACCCGTATAACATCTTTCTACACCTAATTTACTTTCTACACCCATATTTTTTTTAATTAAACTATCAATATTTCTTTAAACGCAAATTTATTACATAAACTACCCCCACAAATCCAATTCAATATGTAAATTTATCTTTACACCCATTTAAAAAATAAAAACCTAAGATCATGTCTTGCAATTCATTCAAGGCTTAGCAATCAAATCAAAGAGGTTTACAACAATATGTGAGTGATCATTCAAAAGGGGTAATTGACTCATTGGCTTATTTGACTAATTCATCACTCACATATTGTAGTCTCTCTCCAATTACATTTCCTCCATGAATGTTCTACAACTCAATCAATCTTAATACAAAATAGGTTTGTGTAACTCAATACTAAATTTTCCTATCAATGATTGATTGGGCAACCTTTCCCCGTTGTTCAATCTATTCCCATCCTCTCCCTGCTGTCTAATCGATGCTACTGCGAAGAAATCTGGGATTGATCTTCACAAATTATGATTTTTGGTGTATTGTTTTTCTGTTGTAAGCATGCCTGATCACTAATCAAACTACTTTTTGTTTCTATTCTACCCAAATATTGCGTTCAATCTTGATTGAGCTTTAGTTTTAATTACTGCAACCTACAAGTTCTTGGCTTTCTCTAATGAATGTGCGATGCATTTAGTCTA